GTCTTATCTTTAAGTCCTCAGGCCGTTGGGATGGGATGACCTGCCACGTCGGGTCTCGAGTGAGTTTCTTCACACGGCTGGCATGAGTCCACCCTCTTTCAGCGGTCCGCACTGCAGACTCAGTAGTAAGCAATACAACATATGGTCCCTCCCATTGAGGGGTTAATATGTTTTCTTTCCAAGATTTTATTAATACTTCGTCTCCCACCCGGAATTTATGTATTGTCATCCATAGGGGAGGCCTTTGAACTACCAATCCTTTTTTGCGAAGTTTTTCCCTTTGATTAGTTAGCTGAGTAATATAAACCTGTAAATGGGTATCAGATATTTTAGGGTGGTCTGCAGGATTTCTACATCAAAAGGCGTTCCATACAACATTTCAAATGGTGATACTCTGATGTCTGTGCGGGGTTGTGTTCTAATGTTTAGCAAAGCCAATGGTAAGCACTYTAATAGGTACCTTAAAAGGTTCCCCCTTTGCTCCAATTACTTGTATTGTGTCCTTACAAATTTTGCAACCTAGTGGCAAGGATTGAATGGTTGATCATTCTGCCCCTGAGTCCACGAGGAACTCAAATTCCTGTTGCTGGGGTCCTACTTTCAATTTTATCAAGAGCTCATTGAACTTATGTGACCCCAGCAAATAGAGCCCCTGACACCCCTAATCCTCAGCAAACAGTTTTTCATCTGCTATTCTTTGCCTGCAACTCTTTTTCAAATGTCCCTTTTTCTGGCAGTAATAACAGACCACATTGTTTCCCAAGGACTGTTGTTCTGGTTGTGTACCCGAATTTGGTCTTTCTTTTCTGCCCTGTACTGCCACCACCATCATTCTAACCTGTTYCTTATAACTTTCGTCATCCCTTCTTACATATACCCTCTGTGCTTCTCTTAATAATTCATCCAGCCCTCTGTTTTGCCARTCGTCTAGTTTTTCTAATTTCCTTCGGATATCAGGCCAYCCCCGAGACACAAACTGAAATTTTAAGAGGGTTTGGCCCACCGGGCTGTCAGGATCTACCCCAGAATACAACTGCAAATTTCTTCTTAATCTTTCCAACCAGGTGGTAGGGTCCTCATCCTTCTTTTGACTATCATTAAAGGCT